CATATAAGTACTAAGAATATGCTTGCGGATCAAATGACTAAAGGTCTCCCTCCTAAGATTTTCGAAGAACATGTTTCGAAGATGAGGTTATCTAAAGACCTTATTTAGTTGCATATTGTACTTGCTTACATTTAATAATAAAATTTCCTCATTGTTTTGTTTGTTTTGTCTCTGAATGTGTCTATGCATGCCTAAAGACATATAGACAACATTTATATACAAAATAATGTTATGGGCTTAATTGTCAATTTGATCCTTAGCTTATTTAAGTTTTAAATTTGGTATTGTAGTATGATTAATGGGGGTCTTGAATTGAGTTTCGATTCAATGACTGTATTTCTCTGCTACAGTTTCGGTTTAGAACTAAAATGAGTATTAAAATCTGATCAGACTTATCTAATACTCATCATAAATGATTACTCGGCCAAGTGAGAGAATGTTGGACACGATTTTATTATGTGGCCTGAGTTATCATTTATCTAATTAATTGATCATTGACCTAATAAATACCCTACGTTTTTATTTGGTAATTATTCGATGGACGTAATTACCCTTACGACCTAATTAGGGTTTCCCCTTGGGTGTATATATATAGAGGTCATTAGACAGAGATCAACACACCAATCTTACGCCTTCTCTCTGCCTCTCTATTCTCGTGAGTCTCATCCTCACCTTAGCCATCATAACGATACACCCTAAACGGGAACTCGATCTGCGTGAGAATCATGGCTTCATCCCTAACTACGTTTACAGGATTATCAGGTACACATGATTAAATCCCTAATTTATATTTTATGTTTAAGAATTGATCAACAGGAGTAAGAAGTGAGTTATGATTACTTTTCATTTTCAAAGAAGTATAAATACTATTTTCTTTTTTGAATTTTTTTTAGTGCTTCTGTAATATTTTAAAATGTACATAAGAAAAAACACATGAAACGTTTGTCAAAAGAGTTAAAATGACAACAATGACAGACCTTAAGAGATGGAAACTCCATAAGCCTGATTTAGTCGTCAAGAAGAAAGTGTGTGTCTTGAAAGAAGATCATGTGAACACATAGGACCACCAAACCAATAAAATGGTCACAACATAACAGGGTCAGATAAAAGGCCAGCTGAGTCTCCATGCTAACAGTGATGCCTGCATAGTAAATGAACTGCAGTTTAACAACAATAAAGCCTTTTCGGCTTAGCGTAAGAATGTCCAGCCTAAAGGTAGAAAACACCTTCTCTTCAAAGTATTGAGATGAAGGATGTCATTTTTTTCATTACTATTGTGTATTTCAAGCATATGGTATAACTATAAAGGTTATATATGGTGTAAGAGCATCTCCAAGGCACCTTTCATATGCTTAAAAAGTCATTTTATCGCTGTTACTGTAGCTATTTTTGTTCTCCTACGCAACCTCTACATTATATAGCATCTTTGGTATGTCAAACAACATCTTCTATAATAAATAAAGTTTTACTGTTTATAAGCTAAAATGCTAAAAAAATAAAATACTCCTATCTGTATGAAGATTGAAAGGTTGGTTGATAACTTCAACATGTGTCGACTCCTTCCCCATCACCTTCAACCTCAGCTTCCCCATCCTCTACGATAAAACCCATCCATTAATATAATTGTCTATGGAATTGTTGGGTGGTGTAGGGTCCTGTGAAGAGTTCAACCAATTGGAAATGACGTTTTCCAGATCCAGTCAAAAAAGGGAATATGAAAGACTACCATTCTGATCTCTCAAATTGCCAATATCTTGTCCATCTCTTATATCCTCACTTAATAAAAAACAATTAAACAGTACCACAATGAGGTAAAAATTGATCATCGATGTTTTTGCCTAGGTTTTGGCTGTTTAAACATGTTGTCCATCAACCAATTGAAAATATAACGTACTATATACTCCATCCATTCCTAAATTAAATTCTCCCCCAAGTGATAAAAAATAAGTTGGTGAATTTTAAGTTTTATATTAAAATTATGGTCCACAGCCAAGAGCCACAACAATTTTCTTTGGAGTAACTGAGATAATACTTCATGATTTCAGAAAGCATGTAAGTAATAGCTAAGAGCAGCATCCTATGAAAGTAAAGTTAATAGAGGTCAATGTAGATGCACCCAGAGATCATACAACACTTAGTTCAACAGGGTAAAGTAAAAGAACTATGCGTCCTCTTCTAACAGTTAAAACTTTTTTTCGGGCCTACATAAAAGGCAAAAGCACTTTTGGGAGCTTTTTTAACCATAAAGAACAGCCACATAGAAATACAAAGTATTTTAGAATTCACATCCTGTCTGATCATGAAAAAAGTTTGTAAACCAACTCAGATTATAATAAGTGATGCATTTAAGAATCATGTTACCTGGTATAACCAAGCAGGAATTTGATAATAATAGAAATAAAAAAGATGTCTTGCAAGTCTTGAAATCATAATTATCATACAAGACACAAAGAAGGAAACAGGAGCGTTAAGAATTAAGAATACTGAGGGAATGAATTTATCAATTATGCCACTTACCAGAAATTATATTATGTTTAGTTGATATAGATTTCATAGATAGCAATTTCAAGTCTGATATGAAAAAGTAAACTGAATATAGAACCTGAGCTTCCCTGAAAAATCTGACGGTTGATCAATGCTAGGGATGCTATGATTTTGGTCCTTGGAAGGTGGTTGATTTGTCGAAGTGGAAACCAGAGAGGAGATAACTCCAAAGACTAACACTTGAAGTTCAAGGTGAGAGTATTGTGTGTTATGATTGTATGACGGTTTATTGGTATGTAGGGAAGGAAGAAATAAGTTGTGGATGGATGATATTATATGGAGTTGAGAACTCATTGAAAGGTAGTAATGGCCATCATTATTTTGAAATCAAAATTGGTAAAAACTGACATTACATTTATTTAGAGTTAGTTTGAAATTTTTTTGGTGTAATTTTGCTGTCATTGGTAGCCATTATTTGTCTTTAATGAATAATGTTAGGTAAAAATAATTGAATGTGACATTTACTACTACAAAATTAATTGGTGAAATACCACTGTTGAAGTTGGCATTTCCCCCAGAGTTGAAAAAACTTTCAGATGTCAACATCCACTGCCAATGCATTTTTGCTGCTGCAAGGATTATCCACTGCCTGCAACAATGTAAATAAATTATATTTAGGCTATTATTCTGAGAAAAAACATGGAAGAGTAACATGGTTTAGTATTGAACATTCTCATATTTGGATTAAAAATGATGTGCTCAGGAAAATACGTTAAACGAAAGGCAATAATAAGGTTGTGGTAAACTTTTTCCAATGAAACATGTGTTTGGATTAATCTTTTTATTATTAAAAAGTAGATTAATATACAATATGATGTTTTACCCCAAAATGGAGAAGATTAATTTTTCCTGGGAAATGATTTTCCATTTTCAAGACACAAATTTTTTACCAAAAAACTGTAATGAATACTAAGAAAAATCTTGGAATTAACTTCTTATGAAGTGAATAGAGAGAAGCAAGTATATTCAGGTCGATATTTGCATCCTAAATGGAGGTCAAACAAAGCATATACCATAGGGATAAACTCAAAACAAAATGTGTGTACCAGTAGATTGATCATGAGATAACAAAGGACATCCATTTGAAGGGCCTGCAATTTTTTCTTGGATTAGTCATTATCTAAGGTTTCCTCTATACATTGTGTCATGATGTCATCATCTGAATCTGGGAAGAACCAAAACCAACCAGCTGAAATATTAGATTGAATATTTGAAAGGTTGTATCAAATTATTACATGGTTAACACTAAATCTCAGCACAATGCTTTCAACTTTGATTAAAATGTGAGAGGCAATGGTCTAACATTACAAGTGAATAAAGTATTATTACATGACATCCAATTCTCTTTAAGCACATGCATATTTTGTGTTGTTATTCACACAATAGTGGTTATTCTTTTAGTTTCTAAGATAGTACGTTTATGATGATGAGGATGGTGTCCATAAACAATTGATACTTGATGTATCAAGCTGTACAAAAATGGTATGTAATATTAATTTTGTTTTGAAATCATATAAATATGACTTTAATTCATACAAAATCAGAGGTTAAATGAGAAAATGCCCCCATATAAATGAGTTCAGGACCTTCTATTTTGGAAAGCAGAATAATTTCAAAAATTAAATAATGCACATGAAAAATTTCCATAGTCTAGAAATTCCATTGAAGATCAACTTCAAGCAGATCTGAAGTTGATATTCATTGGAAGAAGTTCTAACTATTACATTGGTAACAATAATTTTAACACAACATATAGAACTTTGAGTAAAAAGTGAGAGAATATGGTCTGTCATTATAAGTGATTAAACTAATCAAAGATGACATCCAATCCTCTTTAAGCACATACGTTTTCTGTAGGCATTGGCAAAATTGTGGTTATTGTTTGAGCACAAAGAGAGTATGTTTAGGATGATGATGATGACAGTGTCATAAGCAATTGACGCCTCATGTGATACACATTATTGAATTGCACATTGATGGTATGTAATTCCGTTTTTTTTAAGGTCAGGTTTTCACAGAGTTGTAATGTTTCAAATTTCTTGAATGTAATTACAGTAACAATTAATTGGAAAACTCTGTTGTGCTCAGGCTTTGCAAGACTATATATAACAAGCACAAATTAAAGAAAGAAGCACTGCACATTAATCATGTGTTGTATTTATTAAAGATGGTGTTTTGGGAATAAAATTAATGTTAAAAAAACTCAACAAAACAATGGGACAAATATTATTGCAAACCAAGTGTTGATATTGTTTAACATTCAAACCCTAAAAATATTAGTTTTTCATTTTTGGGATGGGTGGTCATCTGGGCTTCCTTCTTCAGAGACAGCATTCGTAATTTCCCTAGGTTGCTGAATTTCTTCTTCATAAGTCAATCTTCTTATGGCAGATACTTGACCACTGCTTTCCCCTTTATTACCTTCAACGCTAACTGACTGTGAGAAGATAACATTTTCACAAAGACCATTGAAACTGTTTGTTGTCAACTCTCACTTCACAAACAAAGCTCTTTCCGTCCATCTTGGCTTGAAGTTGTGAAATGTCAATTTCTCCTGACCGGTGGGTAGTCTTTCTAATGCACAACAGTCGGTTGAAATCATTTCTTCTTTTTTTTTTGAAGGGGTCAGTTGAAATTTTCATTGAAAATTGTTCCTTGAATCTGACCAGTTTCATCAGTCAACTTAACTTTGACCATGTATATACATTGTGAGAATCAAACTTCATTTAATCCATTAACCAAACATTTGGAGTGATGTCAATTCACGTGCATTGAGATTGCCACAATCCAAGCATGTATAACTTCCTCCTTGCCAAACTTTTTTTATTACAATAATCACAGCCAAAGTAGGAATTTGCTCCATTATCGAGAATTCACATATATACTGCAACCCAAACTTCTTTGCCCTAAATATGTTCCAAATTTAAAAGTTACGGTAAGAGAGAAAATACAATACGTATTTCATTTCAACCAACGAATGCTCAACTGTGGTGCATACCTGGGTATTCAATTGGCAAATCTCGGAAAGTTTTGTCTTTGATTGCGCTGGTGGGTACGCTAGTGATATTAGAGCACCTTTATATGCCTTCAGGTCAATGAACCTCTTGATAAGATGTACGATCTCATCTCTCATGTTAATGTGTTTTATAAGTCTTACTTTAATATGAATGTGTTTAGTACTATTTCTTCTGAACATAGACGTATGTTTATACCATTTTTTAGGGGTTTCAAAGTTTGGATTAGGTGGGTTGACATCAATGATTGAATCAAATCTGTTTACCACAAGCAGTAAAAAACTTATGAGATATAGTACCTGTTTCTCAAGTTGGTGTTTCTTATAGAGGGTGTTAACCAACTCTTTCTTCTCTTCGCATTCTGCCATTAGAAGCTTATTAGAAGCTTCCACATTTGAACACCTTTCCTGTAGTTCCGAGCGACTCCTTGACAAAGCACCAACTTTCTCAGCGAGCACCCAAACACATTCTCTGAACTCAGCAGCACTGTCTTCCTACTTTTCATTGATTGAACTGATTTTTTGAAAATTTTTACAAAAATGCATTTATAGCTCGGGGACAAAAAGGAATTTTATATTTTTATCCAGAATCAAACATGTAGTGGCAGGGAAATTTATGGGTGAGAATCTCCCCAGTGCCTGAGGGGAGAAAAAAAAAGGTTAAAACAAGAATGTGAACTCACTTTGCTAAAGACTGAGACGAAGCAGGTAGAGACTGGGCAAAACCAGCAGTGCCACCTGATAAATTGCAAGCTCTCAACCTCTCAAAGAGGCCACGCATTTTAACTGCAGAAGAACACAGTGTGCTGTACTCTGAGGCCCTCTCGGCTGCACACAGATGGTTTTGAGCTTCCTCTCTTGCTTCATGAAGACAGTTCTCCAAGTGAGCATAATTCATCTGTATCACATTGTAGAACATACTTAGGGGTATTTTTTTTTCTGCAGGAAAAGGTCTGCGGTATGCGGACTACTACTGTAGACATCTGCAGGAGAAGTAGTGGACCGAAGGTCTGCGGTCTGCAAGAAGAAGACTGTTTGTTTTTTTAATGTCTGTAGACTGCTATATAAATTAATGGTGGTAGTTGTTGGAAAAAATATCATAGATTTTGATGATGATGTATTTAGAATGTAATAGGGACTTTAGGTCTCCCCTAATATTCAATGTAATTTTTCTTTTTAGAAATATTGTCAAAACCAAGTTCTTGAGATCTCTAATAAAGTTGTGATATTTCTTTAAGCGTTTTGATGCCTGAAGACCTAATCAAATTCAGTGATATGGAAATTGGATATCTTGATCGGAAATGCCAGAGACAAGTAAGGATTTCTCAAGCAGATGAAAATCCTCTGATCCGGAAGACTACATAAGAACCGGATGTCTCGCTACAATCCTCTAATGGTGGTAGTGTACGGTGGTGGTGTATGGATGATTGTGGTGGTGGTGGAGGGTGGTGGTGGACGTTGACGGTGGTGGTGGTGGTTGATGGTGGCGGTGGTGGTGGACGACGATGGTGATGGACGGTGACGGTGATGGTGGACGGTGGTAGTGGTGGACGGTGGCGGTGAACGGTTGTGGTGGTGAAGAGAAGTAGAAAAAAAAGGAGAAGATGTTAGAAGACATTGGTTAATGTCTTCTCCAAGAAGATGCCAGGAAGACCTTTTTGAATGAAATGTCTTCCAAAAAACAAACAATCTGCAGAGCCCATCATCTGCGCGCGTCTGCGCGGCGCAGACAAAAGACGCCAGAAGGTCTTCTGGCAGAAAAACAAACACCCCCTTAGAGTATTTTAGTGAAGAGCGACTTGATAAACTCCGTGTCACAAAAAAATGAAAATTGTTGAGCCACGAGGGCATTAATTTTATTTTTAAAGGAAAGAAGAATAATACTCTCTAAATGGTTCTTATTTCGTTTAATCTTCTATAAAAAATTATACTCCCTCCATCCGGGAAAGAACTTCTCAAGGGGACCTTTCACGTTTTTTAAGGAGAGTTGAAAAAAGTGAACTTTTACCAAATTACCCTTAATGAAAGTAGGTGGAATATTGGGTGATGTGTAATAAATAAAGTGAGAGTAGTTGTGGCATGTCAAATGTTAAAAAAGATACCGGAAGATCTTTCTCGGTCAAAAAAGGGCAAGAGAGAGTAATACAAAATTCTCTCTCAAATGCGATGTGGTATGTGATAAAGAAATAAATAAAACCCATCCTTTTAATACTAAACACTATAAATTTCTTGTTTGTGTTTGCACACTTCTCTATTATTTTTTTCTTTTGGAAATGGTTGGGGTTAGGGGGGACAATCTATTTTAGTATGCCATAAAAATTTCCCTAACAACCATATCCTGGCATAAAAAAATCAAAAGTAAAGCATTCCAAACTTAAATACTAACAAATACGGAGTATGAATGATAGCACAGTTGACTAAAAGGCCGCCACACAGAAAAAAGGATTCCAGCTCTAGCTAAGGAAGGGAAGACAATGGAGGGCATAGTCAACATTTTGAAAAATATACAACAACAACCCAATTGAAGCCCACGAGAGCAGGGTCTTTGGGGTGGGGGTGGGGGTGTAGGCAGACCTTGCCCCAATCTTGAAAAATATAACATTTATAAAATTGATGAAAGTGTGATTAGAATGTTATATGATTTCCAATTATGTTATTTCTTTAACTTTTTATGAAATATCATTCACAAAATGTATATGTAATTGTAATTATATATGTATATCAACATATACACATAGGCCTCCATAACCTTCCATCAAAACCGACATTAGATTTTTTTGGTAAAGTGTAACACTACAAGTGTCAATTCAACACTATAGTGACAAATAACAAGCCTAGAGTTAATAGTTGATGAAAATGCTATTTATTGCCAGGTATGGAGTCTCGGCACCAACAAACCCAGTAAAATCCCACGGAAGTAGAGAGACTATTCCCAAGAGACAAATCAGTGCAAAATTTCTAGTTCTCTGTAGAGACCATACAGTTTGACTATATAATATCTGTCCTTTATATTAAGAAAACAATTGTAGTTTAGTCAAAAAAATACCTGCGATTCATCAAAGAGCTTCCTTTTGTTCTCCAAATCCCCAATTAACTTGTCAACCTCATTCCTCAGCCTTTTGATTTCATTTTCTGCTTCATTCAGTTGGCTTGAATTTCCACTGAGTGCTTTTTGCAACTCAATAACATCTTCACTTAGTCTTGAACAAAAAGCAGGACCAGCAGCTGGTTCAGAAGGTAATGAAGCAGTCACAGGCCGAGACATGCTCAGAACCATAGAGCTTGATAATGTCTTGTTTTCCTCGTCACAAAACTGGTCGTGCTCTTCATCGCGGTGAGGATCTACCATAGATGAATCCAATTGAGGGTTAACCGTACTAGAAGAATCGGTCATGTTATCATATAACACTTCTTGTGTCTTTCCCTATTTAGAAAGATTCCCTGTTTTATCTTCCAATGAACTAGACGCACATGAAGTGGTAAGGTTTGATACGCCCTCACCCATAGAACCATTATGGCTAGGCATATAATGCTCAGACAAACGTTGCTCTAACTCCTGAATCTGTTTTTCATATGATTCACACTGCATTTGCTTCATCTTCAGCATGGATTTAAGATGGTTCTCGTGCTCTTCTTTCAAACATATGGTTTCAGATGTTTTCTCTCGAACGTCCTGTAGCAAGCGGTCCATTTTACCCTCATCATCAAAAGATTCATAACCAACTTCAGGGCTAATCGAACAGATTAAGGCTATCTTAGAAGCAAGTTCTGCTCTCAGTTTTGCATTTTCAACTTCCATCTTGATCGTTCCAACAATATCGAGAAACTCAACCGAATCAATCTTCTCAGGAAGTTCAAAACCACAATCATCAACCTTGCCTCTGTGTGAGAGTCCCAACAAATACTCAGGGGCATAATGATCAAGCTCTGGGTTATCAATGTCGAGCAACTTGGTATCAAAAGGGGTCATATTTACGTCACACTTGCTAGGAGTATCAAACAATCCCATGCAAGCCAAAACATCACTTGGTATGTATGGACTGTGAACTCTCAAAAACTCCTCCCTTCTAGAAACCTTTGCTTCCCTCTTGGCGGCAAGCCTTTCGGCCAACTGTCCCGTTATGCCCATGTAAAGCTTCATTGAAGCCTTCATTCTAACCACTTCTGCAAGGCAAGCTCTATATGCTGGCCCGATTCCCCAGACAATTTTTAAGTTTATCCTTTATCATGAACTGGATATATGCTATCTTTTGCATGTAATTGTGGACGAACGTGTTCATTTTGTTCTTTTTGTCCTTGCAGAAATCAAGCAAGCAAGCCAGTAATTGATCTATCACAAGATTGCATCTTGGGAAGACAACTTTTTTCATGGGATTCATACATGGGGCCCAAGGCAGAAACTGCATCATGGGGACGGAGTGAGGATGATAGCTGGCCAGTAAGGCAATCATCAACAAGCTTTTTTACCATGTTCACGTCTTTACTGCATGGAAATGAATTTGTAGGTATCTGGGATCGTAGTGGGCTTTGTGAGGATGCTCATATAGCATAGATAGTATATTATTCAAAGTATCGTGTGGAAATTATATATCTCTAATAAATTTAATATGAAAATGACATAAACTTCCTACCCCTACCGCCAACACCATAGTCCACAAACATCTAGGGCCATGGTGCACCAGAAATGAATTTATCTGAAAAGGGCATTCGAAGAGAGGAAAGGTGTAGGAAATTGGGTAATTCTCACATACAGTATTTCTTTTGTACCTAGTCATGTGACCATATTACTCTGTAGTATTTAATTACTAACTAATGAGGACTATATGACCTATGTGCATTAAATAATACTAGTATTTAAATGAATTTCTCCGAGTACTCCATAAGAAAATCATGCTGTTGTTGAGTGTTTTAAGTTGTTATCGGGTCATGGACCTATGCATCTATTAACATGGCTCAAAATTTCAGCACAATGTGCAGGAACGAATGGGTGAGATAGAAACATTGTTTTATGAGTAATCAAACTTGAATAGTCTCAAGAACCAACTTCGAATGAAAGACACTATTGACTCCACTGTGCAAAAAATTCACTTGTATATTATATGATGAAAATGTGCATTCGTCCCTAAAAAGAACTTCGTGTTTTCCTTTTTCAGCTACCCCAAAAAGAAGTAATCATTCCATTTAGGGAAAGAAATGAGGGGTTCATATTATTTCTCTCTCCCCTGCGTAAACTTCCAAAAGACAATTCACTTTATCTTAAACTCCATGAAAAAAACAAATCATATCTTCTTTTAAGGACAGAGGGAGTATTATATAAATGGAATATAACAAAACAACTATCATACAAAGACAAAGAGACTAGAAAGAACCTCAAAGCCTGCATTATGCTCTTTTGCTCATTAACATACTTCTGATGCTCTCTAATCGCCTGTTCAAGACCTTACACATAAGTCCAATTCGTTTCTTAGACCATCCCCAATGAATAGAGAGCATAACGAATAAATTACTGTACAATGAATCCATTTTTTCCTTTTTTCCTTCATTTAAATACTATAATGTTTTTTATTAATTAATAAAGAATTCAAAGAAAACTCCAAACACATTAAAAAAATTCAAAGACAACTTCAAAGTCCAAACACAAATTTTCCAATGTGGGATAGAGATGTCATTTGGGATTGAAGGAGTGCATCTTTGTTGAAGTGGCCTAATCCATCAACTGAAAATGCCATTACAATCTACTGATTCATCATCACCAATAACACACAGAATGCTATGATGCTGAGTTCCACAACAATCAAGAACCAATCTTCTTAAAAATGAACAGCAAAACCACAAATTATTGTTTGATTAAACAAGCAATTAATAACTAGAAAAGCATCCAAAGTAACAATGTGCATTCTCTATAGTGCATTAGGCGTTAATAACGAAATATACCCCCATCAAAATCTAGTTTTCTGAGGATCTGAAGCCCTGGGACAACAACCGTCGATGATGAAAATGTAGTAAGATGATGAAAACTAAATCCTTTAATATAATATTTGAGAGTTGATAGCCTAGAATTTTGACAAGTGGCAACCTAGGACTCTTATTTTGACGACACATTGGATGACACGCGTCTAAATATTGCCAAAGCTCGCCTTCGTCGAACAACTCCAAGCAGAATTAGGGATTCTCTCCCGACTTATTCTTCCCCGACTTCTTCGCGCAGAAAACAGTGTTACTGATTTTTGATGATGTTTAATTTGAACAAAAAATCCTTTAATATAATATTTGAGAGTTGATAGCCTAGAATTTTGACACATGGCAACCTAGGACTCTTATTTTGACGACACATTGGATGACACGCGTCTAAATATTGGCGAAGCTCTCCTTCGCCAAACAACTCCGAGCAGAATTAGGGATTCTCTCCCGACTTATTCTTCCCCGACTTCTTCGCGCAGAAAGTAGTAAATTTCCTGCAAATCTTCACGCTGAAAAGGAAACAAATATGATTCCTCGCTGCGTTGGGTCACGGAAGGAAAGAAATCACAGGTACTCCGATACGCCTTTCCATTTTCTTCTTCGGTACCCCAATTTTTCCCTAATTTTTACCCGAAATTAGGGTTGATTAATACCAATATGCTTTCTTCAATTGATTGAAAAAAATAAAATCGTAATTCATACCTAATTCATATTCGTATACCCTAATTAGAATTGAGAAATCATATACCTAATTTATATTCTATTAATAGATGTATTCTTTCTACCTATAATTCTATCTATATATACATTCTCCTCAAGAACAACCCAGAATTCCCGTTTTCTGATATTCATATTCCTTTTTGTTTTTTCGTTCAATCCGTGACAATGACCATCCATCCACTGTCGATGATCACTCCAAGCAGTGAATGTTGGAGGATCATGGTTCGTGTTGTACGATTGTATACTTTACCCGCTTATAATGATGGGAGGACTACAAATTCCATTGAAATGGTGTTCATGGATGAACATGTATGTCACCTTCTCTTGATTCATCATATTCCTTCTCATT